GAGGCAGCTGGCTGAGATTAAACCGAACAAGTATTGGACGCGTCATTGTGACGGCCCTGCCCTGTGTCAGACTCGGGACACACTACTAAACCAGTTGTAGTTATTTAAGGTTCTTTACAAACCGCCTGTTCTGTGTGCATTCATAAATAAGGTGAACTAAAATTTCAAACTTAATATTATTTAAGAAATACCACAGTGAAGGGATCATTAATACAAGGTTGTATGTTCTCTAGCAAGCGTGTGTGATTCACCTTTGAACAACACTGTAGCCCTCTGTTTAGGAACCACTGCATTAAGTAAACAATAAACCTTCCTATTCGTCGCTGTAGTCTGATAAATGACTAACAAATTTAAGACTAATAATACCATACAGTACTAGGGTTTCTGAATGTCTTGTACTTTAAAGAACTTGAATCAAATTTTAATAGCTATAACACACTCGCCTGGTCAGCTCCTTACTGTAAAATGATGTACAGTACTGCAAAATATTTATGGAAAAATATTTATCTTAACGATTTCGTGGATATACTGTACTATGTTGATTTAAACACACACACACACACACACACACACACACTTACTTACACATGATCATCGCAGTGTCGTTAACCGTATGTGTAGAGAGAGAAGCACAACAACAACAAGAGGTGTAAGAGTGTCCAGCGTCACCTTGTATACAACACTCCCACCACCTCATCACCACCCTGTCCTCAAACTCTCACCACCGTCATTACCAATAGTATGTCACGTTGTCTTAATCTATTGAATTTATTTTTTGTATCCTCTTCCACCCTTGCATGTCTGGTGGCGTAGGCGAGGCAGTAGTGTGTGTGTGTATTAAATAAACACTTAAGAACTTTTTTACGTACTGTAGGTCACCTCATTATTAACACTGGCAACTAAGGTTCTAGGGAAGAAAATAATACTCGTGGGATTTCAATAATCATGCTAATGCGTTACATTCACCGTATAGTGTTAGAGAAACAGTAATTCTCTCTCTCTCTCTCTCTCTCTCTCCCAACGGTATTAGGAGCCGGGAGGAACGTGGACTCCTCTCTGGTCGTCTTACCAGTTTACTTCTGCAATGGTTGTCATTTATATTTCAGTTCACCCTACTGACCCGGACTGGGAAATCCACACGCTTGATTTGACCAAACTGTGCAGAGGTGTAGGGGTGATGCTAGGGGGGGAGGGTGATGAAGGAGGAGGGTTTGGGGGTTAAATGTGAAATATAGGAAGGAGCATCATGTCTCCCCACCCACCCCACCACCCCCACCCCCCCCACCCACCCACCCACCCACACACACACACACACACACACACACACACACACACAATCTGAATCTGGGCTCCACATAGCCTGAGGTGGGTCTTAATACTGTAAAATATGTTGTGTTCTCTTAATGCCCTCCTAGTCGAAATGGATCAGTAGAAAGGATCAAGAAGCTTCGCCTCCTATCTTATTTCACCTGATGATTCACCACCTAATGTTACCTGGGGTTAAGGGTGGTTAATCACCAGGTGAAAATTAAACTGGGGGTACTAACCTTCAGGTGATCTGGGTCAACCATTGTTTGGTATTAACTGAATTAGGACACATATTTGTATCTCACTAAACTACAGTACAGCTAAAGAAACTTGACAATTTATCATTCTTTACTGTTAATAATTTTCTTTGTTGAACTCAAGAACATCACAAAATAGAAAGTCCAGTCATAATACAGTTGTTACAAGACAGTAGTTCACTAATGCAATAGTTGTTGTGGTAAAATGTGACTCCCAACCACAACCAGTGTTTTACGCCAAGATTTATACCTCAAACTGGTAACAAGAGAAAACATTCCAGTACGGCAGAGTATAATTGGGACACCATGATTACTAAGGTAGTAAGATGTCTCTATACAGATTCAATTTGGGAGAAAAACCTGACGTTCGGAAACTCGACATTCCAGGCATTACCGCATCCACTTGACCGCCGTGTCATGGTGTAAACACCTTGTTAGGCGTAGCCGCTACATGCACTTCCTCACAGCTGACCACCACAGGTTATTCATGTAAACATTTGACGTCACCACCCTTTACCTTTAGTTGAAATTTTTAGTTTAATCATTTAAAATCTTATATAATTAGGGAATTAAACATCAATAGCACAAAAGATACGATATACAATATGTTGAAAAGTTTCTTAAATTGAATTTGACAGGCTGTAAGGTAAGGAGTAACGGTGGGGGTGGATGCACGCCATCTGTTGCTAGAGTCAGCCAAGTATCGTTTTACCGTTCTCGGGCCGGCCGGATAACGGGCCCCAACCCGGTAATAATAACCTGAGGCGAAAGAGACGAGCTACTGAAGGAGGTGTGTGTGTGTTTGGAGAGTGATGCTGGTTGTGGAGATGGGTCATGGGCTCAACCTGTCATAAATAAATATTACCAATGTTCTTGAGCTCATTTGGTGTCTCCATCGAGGTTAATTTCACATCTTTGAAGACATTTTGTGCTTTAGTTTAACTGGAGTTCCACAATCTGACTGGGAAAAAAAAAACTAATGTGTTGTGATATTAATATTTGCTTATATGTTTAACTTACCTACTGTTTAGTGGTGTGACTCTTCTTATCATCATAATTATAACTTGTGTCCGTATTTTCTCTTGAACGCGCTAGCTAAGTTATTTACATTATCTTTGATAGGAATTCGCACTTAAAAGACAGAGGAGAAAATTCTGAGACCAAAGGTAATATAGGGATGATTGCAGTTCATGTTAGCAGTGAGTTATTTAATCCTCTGGTGACACACCCTCCCCCACACACGGAGTTAGACGAATACGATAATTTAACTCTTATCGTGTTTCAGAAAGAAGATCCGAGGGAGGGCAGAAGATGGCGGAGTGAGGAGCAGGTGTGAGAGAGGAGGAGGGGACGGGGGGTGAAAACACAACGGGTGGTGATGGGTTGAGGGTTAGCGAAGGTTGTTTGGTAATGCTGGATGATGTGAGTGGCTGAGGAGGATGGTGATGGGTGTTGGATGAAGGCCGTGATGGGGGAGTGGTGATAGTGTAAGCAGGAAGGTGATGTGGGAGTGGCAGAAGGCAAGAGTGGTGGTGAAGGCAGTGATGAGGGGGAGTGGTGGAGAAGACAGTGATGAGGGGGAGTGGTGGAGGAGGGTAGTAGTGGCTAGTCAGTGGTAAGGTTGTAGGTAAGACGGAAAGAAACCTGATACGTTTACGAGTGATGTATAGAAGTCCTTTACCCAGAGACCAGTTAAACACTAGACCTGTAAAATCTTGCCAATAATTATACTCGTTACACTTAACTGATGAAAAGTCAAACAATACATTTTCGGAGGAACACACAATCGTCATTCATCCTCATGCCAGCTAGAGTATTATTGTCCTAGCAACGTCCATCTTGGTAACTTCTTCTCATTATCTGGGTCAGTTTCACACTCCCCCATATTAAACTGTTGTTTATCTTTAGAGCTTCAGTTCACTTCTTTCTCCTTGTGATGTTAACTCAGGATGCGGTTTGCAACTTTCTCTGGGTTGACAACACCAGATATGTTGAGGTCCTCGCTGTCTATCAGATCATAATACTGCATGACCTTGTTTGTTACCAACGAGCGGTGTTTTGCAGTTGGGACGCCTCGGGGAGTCACTGTTTGTTTACGGGTGTGCATAATCTGCCTACTGAGGGACGGCCACAGGAATGCAGGCTCTAGCAACCTGGCGAGTGCAGTGTAGGTTTTGCTCACCGAACCCTCACCACACTTATACTGGCGAGCCGGAGAACATTAATCTCGCACCTAAGAAAGAGCTCAGTAGTAGAGGCAGAACTTTACACGCTGAGAAAAATATAGTAAAGGTATGCTATATTACGTCTTCGTGTGCCAGACATCAACACCTTGTTCTTCCCACTCACCCGTCACCGCCAGCTGACTTTACAGTGGCTATTTTTCATCCAACGTCGGGGCCGGAAAGTCAGTTTTTGCTGGGTTCTGGTCCATTATGGGGAGAAGGGGAATGAGCGAGCTGAAGCTGTGGTGAAAGTAACTGCTTTTCGCCCAGTGGCAAGTCGTTCCCCTCTACCAACCTCTGATATGAAATCAGTAATAAGAGCTGCCATCCGCTCGAGTTGGAAATGCAGGCGGGATGCTGTCGTAGCAAACAAGGTCCCCGACATCCACCCTGCATTGGGTGCCTGGGGATATCAGGGACTGCCATGCCACCAAGAGGCTGCTTTGGCCTGCCTCTGCATTGGCCACACACGGCTGACTTATGTTTTTTTAATGAAGAGGGCGCCCCCTCCCCATTGTGATGATTGCCTGGTCCCATTGACTATTCGACACCTGGTGGAATGCCCCAGTCTCAGAAATCTTCGTTGTAAGCACCTCTCCCGGTGCCAGGGAGGAGTCGGGTCTTAGACTCTCTTTGGTGTTGGGGGAAGGGGTGGGTAACATAGGAGGGGACGTCCTCTCCTTCGTGGAGGAAGCCGGTCTTCTACACAAGCTTTGAGCTTTATTTATTAATGTTTAAATGTTTTTTATGAAGTTCTAGGTTATTTTTTATTTAATTTTTTACCTTGCATTATTTTATTTTAGTCTTTTAAGCCTTAATTTTAGTTCTGCGACATATGAGCTAAGCAGTTGCGTAGTCAGAGATGTATTTACCATAATCCACCAATCAATCAGAATGGGTCCTATGTATTACTGTTTTCGTGAAATGAATGACTATCAGGCTAATATTTACCTAACTGCCACCCACTAGAGGTGACCATGCCGAAGGAAGGAGGTCAGTGTCCGGTGTGGGATCCCTCCTTTGTTCTTGATAGTTTTGTCTCTGGCTATTTTGAAGCCCAGTACTGTTCTTTAGATTCCACACCTTGGGCTGGTAGAATGTTCTATAGATTTACCAGCCTCTGTGTGAAGAGGTATTCCCTTATGTTCCTTCTGCATGATAACTTGGCGAGCTTATAGTTATGTCTCCTCCTTTGACAGTGAGGTCAACGATGGTGCAGCCAAGGTCATCCAAGTCCGTGCCAATAATGCCCTCGCGACCTGGAGCTGCAGAGGGTCACCACAGGTCGCAAAGACGACCTTCCCCCACTCGCAGGCACTCGCCTCGACGGGAACACCACCCAAGAACCTCCAGAGACCAAGTGAGGGCCTCCGTGAATGAATCCAGCGCCTCAAGGAGCAGAAGTAGTGGACCTTTTTACTCCAGGTGTAGCAGGAGGAACTCTTGCTCCCCCGTCAGGTCCACGGCACCCCGTGCAGCTCCTAGACATAGGTGAGTCGCCCTCTCTCTCCATCTCTTTAATACCCTTGGTCTAATAAATCAAGAAATATTTTATTGAGTACTATATTACTTTTACCCCACAATCGATCAATACAGGTACGTTATAAAATTCAATGACCAGTTTTGGGAATACAGAGTACTGTACACTACACTACGACGTTTAATTGTGGAATACAATATACAGTATACTGTATCAACCTCGATATTCAAAACAAGGTACTGTATGGAAAATTTACTTTAATAATTTTTATTCATGCATTTTTGTTCTTCCAACTAATGTTCAAGTTGTCAGAGTTGTCCTTCATAGACTCTGTTCTATATTATTAATTACTTGTGTTTTTTATGTTTTTTACCTTGCATTATTTTATTGTAGTCTCTTAAGCCTTTAATTTAATTCGGCGACATATGACCGAAGCTGTTGTGTTGTTCTAGGGTCAACTCTTATACAGTACTTTAAACAGAATTTTGATAATTTTCTATTTTATTTTTGTATTTATTTTTATTTTTATATATTTTTCAAGGTTAGGTAAATGTAATAATGTTTAACTTTGAGTGTGGCTATTCATTATAATTCTGATAATACAATAGATTTCTCAGAGATAACCAGGAACTCGAATGTACACCTGAATAATAGACAAATAACTAAAGAAGAATATCAGCCTTTGACAAATATGCTGGGTCATGAATTTCCGGTTTGATTAAAGTAATCTCTTAAGCCAACATTTTCAACAGGGCATTGGAGGAAACCAGTAGCAACAGCAGCACATATCCTATATTATTGTCGCAGCGACACAGAGAAGCAAATGAGAATGAGAACAGAAGACAGATGTTGGAGAGAGGAACAATGCTGGAGCATGAAGAAGAGGAATTCAAGAAGAGGACACTAGGGAGTAGAATTTGTAAGGCAGCAAAGCTGATGTCTGGGTTCTTGATATCAATGGGCCTTGTTATGGTGGTGAGTACCGAGTTGCTTTATTTTCAGTGTAAAAACTTTATTTGTGACATGTATACTCTGCTTAGCACATTTTAATATTACAGAACTAGATAAAAATATAGCATTCATGCTCAGTTTTAATGTAAATCATCGATTTAGTGCTGTATAGACTGTGTAGATGTATTGATTAAACATATAACATCGTATGCACTTCAGTAAACTCTCATTGTGCATGGGTTTATGTTCCTATAGGACGTCGTGTAAAATTAAATTTTTTAAATCCAAGTTTTAAGTACTAATGGGGAAAATGTGGAACCATGGTACCATTTAGTAAATTACAAAGACTCATGAAAGTTGAGCACTACAAAAACCTGAGTCGTCTGAGCTCCTTTAGAAGTCATTGTATTAATGGTGAGGCTGGGCGATAGAAGGTGAGGACTGTACTATCACACCAACAGATTCTACATTCTGATGGCCTCATCTTTCTCTGAGGTTAATGGTACATTTTTTTGCCTTCTTTTAGGAACAGGGTTTTAAAATGTCAATGGAATTAAAAGGTTTTGTACATATTTACTTTATTTTTGTTTTATTTTTGTATTTTAAAGGTCGCCACGAATGTGGAAGGGGCATGTAGTGTTACCTTTGTTCATCTGTTTGTCCGTATGTTATCATATCCATCCATACATACTGTAAGACCTGATCATTTCCAAACACTTGACCATGAAGTTATGGGGTATTACCGACCACATGTATCTTGATAAACACAGTACTACACCATCACAACAAGAGATCACCATGTCCTATTTTGGGTAGTTTATATTGTGGTAAGTTTTTGTTAACCTTAATGTTTAGCTTATTTTAAGTGACTAACTATTTGTGGTGTTTATGTAGAGCTTAGTATATTTAAGTTTTATGGTGGTCGGTCACCTCAACCCCCTGACAGCTCGACACTTTGTCAAAATATTTTAAATCATAATATGTTTCAGTGTCTTCCATTTCTATATTCATATAACTTATTGCTGTTTCTGTCCTCTACAGTTTTATGTGATCATCACCACCATCATGGGAGAATCCTCACCTCTAGATATCTTCAACTTTGAATTTGGCAATGAAGACCTCTTACAGCGCCAGGAGAATGTGACAGATGCTACATCAAAACCAGAAATCAAGAGACGAGAGCCTGATTTTGGAATACGTCTGGAATCGGACTCTCACATGATCGATTCTAAGGACTCAGAGGGTCATAACTCAAATGTTTCTGCGGGGGAATTTTCAATGAGGCAAAAAGAGGGAGGAGAAACAACACAAACTGACACAAATTTTGTTGGAGAAAATCGGACGGTTGCTGAGGGAAGATCTTATGTGGCTTATATTCCTGTCCCTCTTAACAATGAGGAGGAAGATGAGGAGGAGGAAGAAGAAGAGGAGGAGGAGGAAGAAACCAGAAGTCCTTCACATTCTAATCCTCTCTTTGTGCCTGTGATGATCGTGCCTGGTGGGGGTGGTGGAAATTTCCCCCCACCTAATGGAAGACCAAACCTCAGAATGCCCCCTCTAATACACCCCTCCCAGCCCTCTTTTCCTCAGATGCCTTTCCCAAGACCCCCTCATGGGCAGAACGGGATTATTCCCCAAATCCCAGTTGTTCCTCCACCCATTCCAAGAGGACACAACAACCCTCCAGTCCTCTCACCGAAGCATCAGCTTAGACCCTTACGTCCACTTCCACCTCGTCCTCAGGTCCCTCCCCGCCTGCCTCCAAGAGGTCCTGGCAGTCTTCCTTTACTACCTCAACGGTCCCCCAGTATCTCGAACAATAACCCTATGGCAAATATTCTCAAGATGTCTGAAAGTCAGCAACGTCTCCCAATTAACTTAGGAAATCCAGTGGGAGGAAGTTTTACAGGTCAACACAGTTCAGCTGGAATGAGTAATGGTCAGGGAATGAACAATATGAATGGCATGAATAATATGAACAATAATGGCATGAACAATAATGGCATGAACAATATGAATGGCATGAACAATATGAATGGCATGAACAATATGAATGGTAGGAACAACATGAATGGTATGAATAATTTGAATGACATGAATGGTGGTTTCAACAATAATGGTATGAATAATGGTATGAACAATATGAATAGCATGAATGGTTTGAACAGTGCTAATAGGATGAACAATATAAATGGCATCAATAATGGGCAAGGAACTAACAGTGGAATGCACACTCCGCCATTAACCAGCTCGGGTCAGGATATCTGGAACTCTCTCTTTGAGATTATGAATCGCCCCAGCAACTCTCCTGGGACAGTGAATGGGTGGAGTACTGTGGGGACCATGGGTGAGGGAGGAGGACAGCCCATGGGTGGTTCAGGTGAGATCATGTCTGGACTAGCAAGAATTGGCAGGTTGCCCACAAAACCATCATTTCTGATGTCCCCACTGGGTAAATCTGTGTCCCATCCTCCCCAAGACATCACTCCAGTGGGACCACCAGTACTCAGAGGAATGGGAGGTCCAAGACCTGACACACTGCCAGATCGCCGCATGCGTCCACGGTTACGTCCCAGCTCAAGGATGTCTGGTCCTCTACCAAAGCCTTTACCACGTCCCCGCCCACCCCTACGCCCACGCCTCCGCCCACCCACACGCCCCCGCCCACCCCCACGCCCCCGCGCATTCCCACGCTACCGTCACCCACCAATACCGCCGCCGCTGGGTATGCCATTAGTTCCCAGAAGACCTCGAATACCTCCAAAACCCACAAGACATCAGCCACCGAAGGACTTTCAGTACCCACCAGACTCCGGCAGCATCCAGGACATCATTAGTTACATGAATAATAAGGAGCGTCAGGATGGTAGAGTGCGACCACCTCCTGGTCTCACTATCGGCAGCCAGGACCATATAGTTGGCCCCAACCCTTTTGGCAACACTAACATCAAGGGAACAGGAAACAGAGACTTCAGAAATACTCCACAGAGTAATTTCAACAGTGGAAAGACTCATTTCATCACTGCTGTTAATGATTTCAGTGATGATGGGAATAATTTTAATAGTGGAGGAAATCATTTTATTGAAAGTTATGGAGGTGGAGGTGGAGATGGTACCGTTATGAGTGGGGGCGGTGGCTTGGATGGGTTTAACAATGGAGGAGGCAATAACTTTAATGGGGGAAATAATAATCACAATGACAACCGTTTTAATGGGGGCAACAGTTTCAATAATGGAGGCAACAACTATAACAATGGTGGTAACTTTAATAGTGGTGGTAACAGCTACAGCAATGGTGGTAACTTTAACAACGGTGATAACTCGAACAATGGTGGTAACAGCTACAACAATGGTGGTAACTTTAATAGTGGTGGTAACAGCTACAGTGATGGTGATAACTCCTACAACAACGGTGGCAACAGCTTCAGTAATGGTGGTAACTTTAATAGTGGTGGTAACAGCTACAGCAATGGTGGTAACTTCAATAATGATGGTAATAGCTACAGCGATGGTGATAACTCCTACAACAACGGTGGCAACAGCTTCAGCAATGGAGGTTTCAACTTGTACAACAATGGTGAAAGTAGCTCCATCCCCCCAGTCAAGAACACTTATGATCCAGGTTCAAGCAGATCCAAGGCCTTCAACATCATGCTGGATGTGTACCCTATGGATGATTCCTCAAGAACCTCAAACAATAAGAGACCCTTCCAGACAAGCTTACACTTCCCAAATTACAAGTCCAACAATGAATACAACAGTAATAATAATAATAATGATGGCTATAACCACGGAGGAAGATTTACTCCAGAAGATGAAGCCAATAAACATGAAATTATCCTTCACCTCAACTTGTTTTCTAAGATGCCGACTATAAACAGAAGACAAGGGTGAGGCCAATATACTTCTTGTCCTGAAATGTGTGTATTGTTAATTAAATACCATTATATCTTGATGTGTTCATTTTTAAAACGTATCAGATTAACAATAAGTCAGCCCCAGAATTCTTTATCTTGAGTTATCGATGACCACCTGTGATAAAGGATGAAACTTAATCTTCTTTTTTAGGATCTCAAGCTCGGAGGCTATTGCAAGTGGTCGAACCGGTGCGGTATCTCTGGAAATTCCTCTCACAGGACAGCTGAGTCCTCTTGATATTTACAAGGCCGTCATGAACAAGGCACGAACACACAAACCTCAGGCCCAAGTACAAGTCATTCCAGGTTAGTGACGAAGACTGTATATTTCAGGTAACAAAGCCGTGCATAATCCAGTAGGCATATAATTAAAAGTATAAACATTTGAATGACAGAAGAGTAACTTTATATGTAAGAATGTTCTGTACATTTGGTTAATTTGTGAGTTTTTTCTTCTTTATAAATTTTTGGATCTAGTTACCTGTCTGTCGTTATAATTGATTATCCAAAAACATGAGAATTTTAAGCTGGGTTAATAGATATATACAAGATCACATTATGACTGTTTCTTTTGCTATTACGTATATCAATAATGGCTTGGATGGGAGGCACAAGAGCTGCTTGCGGGTACAGCATCAGGGTAAATTATTCAATTCAATTTATATAAAAAGCGATATACAGTATGTTTAATACTTTGTCCTCCATTGTGGGACACACTAGCCTCCTTAAAACATTTATTTCCCCCTTTGTTTACAACTCACCACCCAGCCTCCACAATTCTTCAACATAATGATTCCTTACACTACCTTCACATTGGTTCTTTAATATTGACATCCTTCTATACTCTTCACTCTAATCACAGTATTTCACACCTTTAACACCTGGTGTAGCCTCCCACACACACCCTGTTCATGAGTCACAACCTTAATCACTTTTACATTAATACTGTAATACCTTTCCATACATATCCCACTTCAGTCACTGCCCTCCAAACACCTTCCACATAAGTCACAACCACACACTCACTCTTCACATTAGTTAAAGCATTAAACATATTCATCAAAATGTCCTTCACTTAGCCTATATACACCTCCACAATTGTACACCATTTATATGTCATTCCTCACCTCCTTCCACCCTTCACTGTGCTCTCTGCTGTGAATACCTAATCTCTTCAGGCCTTCACTTACAAACACCATAAATTTTCTCATCAGGAAAGGAAAAGGAGGATACTACTGACACTCATGGCGAGGTAGAGATTGAACTGTTTGACGTTGAAGAGGGCCCCATGCTGCTCCAGGCCATAGAACAAGGCCTGCGGGAGCTCAATGTCAACTTGCCTCCCCATCAGCGCTTTGTCTTTGACGATGAAGTAACATCTGTTATAGATCTCCATAATGCTGTCAATGGGGGAAGCAACTCCTCCTCTCCAGGACGTAGACGACCTCCTGCATCGCCCCCTTATGAGTACAGCGACACAAACGACTACGAGTACTATGATTATTATGATTATGACGATTATGATGATGTGGGTTATGGAGAAGCAGAGCCAGGGCAGACTGCCACAGACTCCCCCTCAACTACACCAACTTCTGACGAAAACTTTCCTGAGCAGCTGCCAACTCCCTGCTGGCACAAGACAGACGAGGATAATACTAACTAAAAAATCATTTTAATTTTCAGTCAAATTTTCTGTATCTATCCTCATTTGCAGGTCTTGCTAACAGCTTCATTAGAAGTTTTTATGAGATAGATTCAATGTTTCACACCCTTCTGCTCTCTTAATATGGGGAATTATTTGACAGAAATGTTTTATACAATTCCCAAATTGTATGTTTGAGTGGGTCAAGCATGTGTAGCTGTGCTGAGGGAGAGGTTACAAATGAAAATGTTAAAGTAAGCTAATCTGAAATAAGAGGGACTCACTTCTGCTGATCAGTAATTTTGTGGAATAGAATTTACAGTAATAGTGTGAAATAATGAGTTTAATTTTAAAATACAAAAAATATGTTTTCCAAATTCAACATATTTTGTATTAAAAAAAAACCTCTAGGCATTGTAACTTGGCATGAATTATGATATTTTTGTACAAAATATGATAGGATTTTATGATAAGCGTTATTTTTGGTCCTTAACATAAGTGTATTGACAGGATAGGTATCTGATTCTGGAAGTGTATTTTATGTGTTAAAAGAAGCAGGTTATTTTGAGTAACAGTGCCAGAATGGGATAAGAGCCATTTTTTAAAAAGCAAGGAAATCACATCCAAAGTTGGGCTATACAAAGGTCGCGTCGACATAATTCTAATAATGGATTGTCAACCATTAATGCAGTGTCATAAAGAGATGTCCACCACATATACCTGAAAGGAGTGTCACGATACAAATGCAGGAATTTGTTTTTCTTGCCGTAGAGTTCAGATACCTTTACACTGGTTACTCACCCAGGAGATTATGGTGTATCACTACGTAGAATTTTACTTCACTTCCGGCATTCAATGTGTTGTATAGTTGATAAATGATGATTGAATGAATTCCATTAATTTCCAACATCCATCTAAGTCATTGATTATACTTTGTCATAATCAATTAGTCGATACTTTTAGTGATCATAAGATAGGGATCACAGATATGGGCAGGTAATTGTACTTACATTTATTTGGCAAGGTTCCATACACTGACTTACAATTTGCTTGGGTAGGCGAGTCATTCACATTCACGCCACAATACAGTAATTTTATATGGGGGGAGTTTGTCAACCTGGAGAATTAACCGTTTAGATTTACTAGGCCGGCCTGGAGTGTTCTTGTAGCAAACAGGCCTTTACCAGTGATCACTTTTCTTTGCTGGATTTATTAACTTATTTCTCTAGACATAACTAAAATCTTGGGGTTTTTGCACACATAGCCTCCTAGCACTGACAGTCTCTGGATGGTGTCGTGATAGGACTGTATGACCCCCTGTTCTTAGTCTACGGAGCAGGAGGTCTTCACTAACCCATGGTCTAGGGCCCACTGGGTAAAATGTCGTTTGGGGGGGCATGAGACGAAAAACAATGCAACAATTTCTGATTTCTCCCCCCCCCCCAGACAAACAAACCCATAAACAAACATTGGGGTAGGGTAGGGTGAGTAGACCTAACACAACCCACGACATGGGGTAAGAATGATGTAGGGGTGTTGTGATATTAATGTTGTCTAGCACTCAGGATGGAAGGAAACTCTAATGTGGTTTTCTTGTATAATATATAAGTTATATGAGAGACAGTCTGGTGCTGGAGATGCCGTGTGGTGAGGGGCTGCTCAGTAGAAGACGTTCGGTGAGTAGCGTGTTGTAGGAGGTCGATGTGCAGGAGATTCGTTAGAGAAGATGTTGCCTGTTGCTGGCCTCCTGATTGAATGAATGCTGGACAGCTAGGAGCTTGCTGGAGGAGATGTTGCTTGTTCAGGAAAATGGGCAGAATGAGAGTTGGTTGGTGAGGAAGCTCAGAGGACGGCTGGTGGGTCGCCATGCTCGCTGGCGGGAGCGAGGGCTGCCAGGCAGGCGAGGAGAAGCGATCAGCAGCCAGGCAGCGGCGGAGGAGGAGGTGTTGCTTGTTCAAGAAGAATGGTCAGAATGAATCTCAATGGAGAGACAGAGCTTATATACCCAGCAGCCGCTATGAGTCATGTTGGGAAAACCCGAGAAGTCGCCGGCCTTTTGGCTCGGTTGCTAGGGTATGGCGGGCATTGGAATGTGGATACGCTTGGTTGCTAGGGAAGACGGTAGCAGGTGGTGTGCAGCTACGCAGTTTGTAGGGGAGACGTCCACTACAATGAACTCTGCATTTCACAAAGAAAACCTATTTGGCTGGTCATGGCGCTTATTCCATTCTGGCTCTGCGCTGCTCATTTAGTAACATCATGTGTTAGTTACATATGCTACTTTTAGTAGGTTCTAAGGAAGATTTTATCTAAAAAAAAAAGAGAAAAAATCATGAGCCATATTTACTTTCATAGTGTTGCTTATGTTTGTTATCATGCTACCACAGTCATTCTTGTATTAGAAAGTCCTTAAATTAAATCATGTCACCTAATTATATAACGGAACAGAAGAACAAATTATCCATCACAGTTGACTTCTCGATTGAGCTCTGCCTTCTTTAACTTCCTTAATGTCCATTATGTAGGAGTTGATCGGATAGTGGATACCAAGTGACTCGCGAACGCCTCGTAAGCAAATTAAATTTTTTTATATCGAATTACTTGCAGGTGATTAATAAATTTTCTCATGAAAAATCTAACTGTACAAATTATTAGAATATAAAATGCAGTACTGTACAGTACAGTAATTTTTTAGGATTACTAAGAAAACCAAAAGTCAGCAGAGATTATCCGAGACAGTAACCTGATCAACTGTTGTATATGGCACTTTTTAGACTTAATCATTTACCTGTATTTCCCATTTAAATGTTATGCAATTCTGTATTCTCGTACAAATATCTGTTTGGATTATTAGTCTTCTGGTAACTGACATATTCTTGGCAGCGAGAGAGAGACCTGTGGTTGTTTAATGCATAAGTTTTGTGATATTAAGGTTGTAATTTTCAGTATTGAAAGATACTGTATTTCATGAAGTATTACTTTGGCATTTTGTAGGCTAGTCAAAACATGTATTGATCAAGCAAATCTATTTTCATTATACATAATGTTGACTTGCCTTGAAACTGTGAATAAACCCGATCTTATAATCTTTTTATATATACAGTACAGGTAAAATATATGTGTGTAATATACAGTATAGAAGTTAAATGACTGTTTTATGCACTCTTAGATGATACCTACTGTAGGTAACTTCTGTTATTGTTGCTAATTTTTGTTATATTCCTCATTTGTCTAACTAAGAAGGCTGTTGTCTTCAAATGCTTCAATAAAAAAAAAAATATTGTGTGTGATTTAAACTTCAAATGTCCCATTTGTCATTGTTTAAAAGAGTGGATGAGGGTGTGGAAGTCCATGTTAAATTTTTGAAACAATATTTTGAGCAGCTTTGGCAAAGTTTTTACTGCACTGTATGTTTTTCACTGGAAGACTGGCCAGATTTTTTTCACCCTCTTTCCGGTCAAGTTTTTTAAAATAATACTGTACATTATTTTTTAGGGTTGCTGATATCAGTAGTACAGTATAGGATGCACATATAACCGGCTAGACACATAGTATAGTGTGCAAGAGATTTAGTGCCGACTAATTTTTCTTCTTCTGAGCAGAGATGATATTTAACTAGATTTTATCGTAGTAGCACTGACATAAAGATTAAAATGTCTAAAACTTCAAATATAAGAGACAATGGTATAGAAAAGTTGCTTGAGAACTTAATTTAAAATTTTATACAGTACAGTATACTAATAAGTGAAAGTGAAAATTGTGAAGAGATGACACTCGCTCTTGCTTAAAAATTTTCAATGTTTTTCATTGTTCAGAATTGTTAATTAAGTTGCATGACTCTTCTAGCCTGTCTATTTAGGAGCCAGTACTTGCCAAGAGTGCGTAACACTAACAGAGATGTGACCAACTGACCAAGAGGCTAATGAGCCGATCAGTCGTGAAGAGGATAAAAGCTAAAAGTAAGTAAAAGCATATCATATCGTGTGAGTGTTATTGATTACATTACTTTGAATAAGAAAACAACACATTGAGAGTACAGTATTGATAGTTTTGGTGTACTGTACTTCATGTTTTTAGTAGGGCTTCCATGGGCAGCTTCTGCTTACACTTATACTGGTGGTAGTTGGTACAAAGGTAATTCAAAGTTTGGAAGCTCTTAACCTCATTAAATCTTTTGTTTCATTTACTGGTATGTAAAAAATCCCTTTCTTGCACATTTATGAGAAAGTGTGAACAGTTTGTTATGGAGTTTCATATTATCCGCCAGAGAATTAGGCCAATTGTCTTTGGACTGAGGTATGCCCGGTCGACAAAACAAAAACAGACTCAAGAGGCAGACAAGGGAACAGGTAACATGTGGAGAAGTAGCCATAGCCCCCCTAAGACATTTAAAGGTAAATGTCTTGAGTTCAGAGTATCGCCCTCATATCTGGTGGGTTGATGACCACAGTCCTCCACTCTTAAATGCTCTCGGGCTGTTTTTACCAATCCTCTAAGGTTATGTATCTCTCTGCAGACCCAGTTTTTAATTTAATTCATCTATCCCAGTCTCTGCCTTCCCATGGACCTCCTACCCTCAACTTTGCCCACTAATACTTGTTATTATTCACTCATCCCTAATTATATGACCAAAGTATCAAATTTTTTTTTCTATACATTTCAAATATTTTTCTTGAAGTTTTGTGCTAAACATGAAAAAACAAATATTTTACTCAGTGTAGCTTATTCTTTGCATTTGCCTATGACACATTTCTAAGGCCTCCATCCTGTTTCTGGTGTCTGCTGCAAGTGTCCACGCTTCTGACCTTTACATCAGTCCTTGCCCATTATTCTTTTTGCTCACAGTTGCCTAAACTTAAGCACTTTTAAAAAGAGAACTTTCACCATTTCTTGGTATCCTCAAATCCCCACATACAAGGTTATAACAATAGACAAGGGGTGAGAAATAGGGTATGTCAATTATAGTTAACTTATTTTACAACTAAAGTTATTCTTCAGTATCTAGACACACACAAAATAATTTTTTTTAATCAAACGTTTCCGAATCCTCCCCACAGCAGAGGAGAACCTGAAAGGGACTTTGGAGCTGGCGAGAACCGTTAGAGGAGCAGCAATGGAAGAGAAGCTGGGGCAGAACCTACAGTTGAACCCGGCCATTCCCAAAAAGTGCTGTTGGGTCTTCCTTGTCGTGGGACGAGGGAAGTGTAGGATGGCGTCCACGTTTGTAAATTTTGATCGGGTTCATCCTTGGTCGATCACATGCCCAAGGTAGGTTACTGTGCCCTGGCCAAAGCTGAATTTGGCCAGGATGACAACGAGCCCTACTTTATTCAGCCACTCGAACAGGTCTTGTAGGTGTACCTCCCAAGTGTCTGAAATAACAAGCAGGTTATTCAGACAAGTAAAAGTCCCATCTGGACCCTGGACAGTAGAATTCATCAGCCTCAGAAATGTGGCTGGAGCTATATACTGTACATTCCAAATGGCATTAGCTCTTACTAAAAAAGTCCATACAGGGTCACAAATGCAGAAACCTCCTTAGCCCTCTCTGTAAGCTCTATCTGGTAGTAACCCTTCTGTAAATCTATCATTAAACAGATGTAGCTGTACCTACAGAGTCTACCAGATAGCCTATCAAAGGCATTACCCCGAAGATAGTCAGTACAGAACCTATACTGTACTCCCCTTCTGGTTTTGGTGGGAGAAGAGAGAGAGAGAGAGAGGCCCATTAACTGCAACTTTGTATGGCCTGGTCCAGCAGGTATTCGACCTCCTTCCCTGCTTTCTGTCCGTGTAAGCTAGTTGATGTGATGGGTATAGGTCCCCTGATTGTGTACCTGAAAATGACTGGTCGATTTGGTGATTGACATTGATTGGTGAGATTTTTCTGGTGTGTGTGTGTGTGTGTGTGTGTGTAATCTTTGGAACACACATACACACAAGTACGTCCGAGTAGACAGAAAAGGTTATTAGCTCCCCCACTTCAGCAGCCAATAGTGCCATACAAAGTGATGAGGTTCTGAATGCATAGACCTGAAGCCTTCGTCTGGGTGTCAGTCGATGGCAGGAGTTTATTGACGTTGTAGTGGATTCCTTCCCTACAACCACCATTGTCGCTGACTAGCCGACTCTCGAATTCCCCAGCCTGCGCCTCGTGGTCAAGGTCGGCAACCAGCGCCGCCTAACATAACTGAGGTCAACTATCAAGCCACGTCTACCTTCGCTATATAAGACCTCACCTCGTGGTGACCTCCCTCTTTCTACCTACAGCCACCAGCAAGCAACACCTCCTCCTCCACTCCTTCTTGGCGGCTCCCGCCGGTGACTATGCCGCCCTACAAGCTGCGTCTTCTCCTCTGAGCACCCTCACCAACCAGCTCTCTCTACACCACGCTTGGACTCACGCTGCCACCCCCCAGCACCAAGCTGCATTGTACATCCAATACAATATGTATACA